GGTGGAGCCAGTTGATAAGAACATGCTTCTTAGGGACTTGATTCCCCCAAGAGCTGTTTCCCCAAGAAGAGAGAATGTTGAAACACCCGTACCCGTAGAAGTGGGTGAAGGTTCTGTGGCACTGGAGTTTAATCGTTTGTCGCAAAATGTCGTGAGGGCAACGATTGCTGCTCAGTCGCAGTCGGCACCACAACCTATAGTTCAAGTTGAGGAGACGCCAGCTCAGAAGCGTCTCAAGATCATTAAGGTGTTTTCTCAGCTGATGCCGGTTATGTTTGAGGGCGGTGCGGACCCAATGGTAGCCGACAACTACATGGATCAAGTCGACTCAGTTGACCTCAATGGATGTGACAGAGGATCACTTGAAGATCATCCTAGCAATTTACAAGTTTGCTATGGATGCCAAAGTTTGGTGGAAGTCGATCACTAACCAATACAAGATTGAAGAGATGAGTTGGGACAGGTTCAAGGAACTGTTTTATGAGAAGTACTTTCCGCTTTCCAAAAGATGGGAGTTACAAGACCAGTTTCATAATCTTATTCAATGGAACATGTCAGTGGCGGAGTATGAGAACAAGTTCACCTCACTCTCTCGTTTTGCTCCAGAAGTGGTGAGAGATGAAGCTAACAAGACTCGGAAGTTTGTCTCGGGTCTTAATGATCGAATGAGGCTGTTGATCATGGCACAGTTTATTATGGTTTACTATGAAGCAGTGGAAAGGGCTTTGATGCTGGAGGCTGACAATAGAGAGAAGGATGCAAGAAGAGAGTAATTGAAGCAAAAGAGGGGTGCAGGGCCATCCTTAGAGGGATCTTCCTGGAAAAGGAACAGGGGCAGTCCATCTCAGTTTCAGGGGCAACAGTCTACAAGATCTGCTCCTACCACTCCTATGCCAGCTGGACCTGACAGGAGTGCAGTTGTTTGTTATCAGTGTCAGCAGGCCGGACATTACAAGTCCAGTTGTCTGATGAGATCGTCTTCAGTTTCGTCAGCTCCGAAGGCTTGTTATGGGTGTGACCAGCAGGGTCACTTGATTCGTGATTGTCCAGGCCAGGGAGCAGGCACAGGTAGTGGCAGGGGGTCACGACAGAGGCCGTCACAATCGGCTACAGTTCAGTCAGGTTTCAGACCACCACCACCACAGCCTACTATGTCTTCACAGGGTTCACGATCAATTAGGAGGGATACTCCTACTATGTCAGTGCAGCAGTCAGGTGTTCAGGTTGGCAGTTCTCAGGCACAGGTACCACAGGGACGTGTTTTTGCACTGGCACAGACCGATGCATCTTCTGGACCGTCAGTTCTTCGAGGTATATTTTCAGTGTTTGGTTGTTGGGCCCGTGTTTTGTTTGACTCTGGTGCATCTCATTCTTTCATTTCATCATCATTTGCACTTGCATCGGGGTTAGAGGTTAGTTTCATGGATCGGGCGTTATGTGTTGATACGCCAGTTGGGGTTTCAGTGTCATTGAGCCAAGTTGTGCAGGATTGCTCCATTGTGATAGCCGGGCGGACCTTTGTGTTTGACCTTATCCTCCTGGAGATGACTAGCTTTGATGTCATTCTCGGGATGGATTGGTTGGCTTCATTTCATGCTACGATCGACTGTTACAGAGGAAGGGTTACAGTTTGCACTCCCGAGGGAGACTGTTTCTTTTTCGTGGGAGATCGGAGTGATTCCCACATTTCATCGTTTTATGGAGTTTGTGGACGAAGTCATGGTGATTATTTCTTAGCTAGTCTTCTAGCCGAAGAAGATGATGTCGTGGGAGAAGTTTATCCGGTGATTGTTTGTGACTTCTTGGATGTTTTTCCAGAAGATTTGACAGAGTTGCCTCCACACCGAGAAGTGGAGTTCACTATTGATTTGATGCATGGTACTGCGCTGATTTCTATGGCACCGTATCGTATGGCACCAGTTGAATTGGAAGAATTGAAGAGGCAGCTTGATGATTTGAGGATGAAAGGTTTCATCCAACCGAGTGTGTCACCGTGGGGCGCACCGGTCTTGTTTACTAAGAAGAAAGATGGTTTGTTGAGGTTGTGCATTGATTATCGGAAGTTGAATCATGCTACCATCAAGAACAAGTATCATTTGCCAAGGATAGATGATTTATTTGATCAGTTGAGGGGAGCCAGTTGTTTCTCGAAGATTGACTTGAGGTCTGGCTATTATCAGTTGCGGGTTAGGGATGAGGATATCCCGAAGATAGCATTCCGTACACGGTATGGATACTATGAGTTCCTTGTTATGCCTTTTGGCTTGACTAATGCGCCAGCGGCATTCATGGACTTGATAAACCGCGTCTTTCACAATTACTTGGACCAGTTTGTGGTAGTTTTCGTGGATGACATTCTTGTGTACTCACGGACTCGGGAAGATTACGAGGTCCATTTGAGTATTGTTTTACAGATTTTGCGGGAGCACCGATTGTATGCTAAATACGAGAAATGTGAGTTTTGGCTACAGGAGGTGAAGTTTTTGGGGCATGTTGTTTCAGAAGGTGGAGTATCAGTTGATCCATCAAAGGTTGAAGCAGTTTTGACTTGGGAGCGACCCAAGAATGTGTTTGAGATCCGCAATTTCCTTGGTTTAGCGGGTTACTATCGGAAATTTGTGAAGGATTTCTCCCGTTTGGTAGCTCCTATGACCCGTTTGACCCGGAAAGGGGTCAAGTTTGTCTGGAATGAGGCCTGTGATTCATCTTTTCAGGAGTTGAAGACGAGATTGACTACAGCTCCAGTGTTGGTGATACCTGAGCGTGGCTTGGGTTATGTGATCTATTGTGATGCTTCACATGACGGGTTGGGATGTGTGTTGATGCAGGATGGTAGAGTAGTGGCTTATGGGTCTCGACAGTTGAAGACTCACGAGTACAACTACCCTACTCATGACCTGGAGTTAGCGGCAGTTGTATTTGCCTTGAAGTGTTAGAGACATTACTTGTATGGTGAGATATTCGAGGTATTTTCAGATCACAAAAGTCTTAAGTACCTTTTCTCCCAAAAGGACTTGAACAACAGACAAAGGCGATGGGTCAAATTCTTGGAGGACTACAATTTTGACTTGCAGTATCATCCGGGCAAGGCGAATGTGGTAGCGGATGCCTTAAGCCGGAAATCTCGTGGAACTTTGGCCAGTTTAGCTATTCGGAAGTGGAAGATGCTTGAAGATCTGGCAGAGATGGGATTACAGTGTTGTGATGATGATGCTTGCAGTGAGTCGGCATTCTTATTTAGTCTTGTGGCTTAGCCTACTCTTGTTGTACGAGTGATTGAGTCACAGAGACAGGACCCGGACTTAGATGCCATCCACGCTTTGATCTCTAGTGGTGAGACAGTGAAAGATTGGGCCTTGCATGCAGATGGGGGTCTACGGTTCAGGGGTTTGTTGGTGGTTCCCACATGTTGTCGTGAGGACGTCCTACGGGAGTTTCACACTTCCCGCTTTGCAGTTCATCCAGGTGGTACTAAAATGTATCACAATTTGAGACGTCAGTATTGGTGGAGCGGGATGAAGAATGATGTTGCACAGTTTGTGGCTAGATGCCTTGCCTGTCAGCAGGTGAAGGCCGAGCATCAAAGGCCAGCAGGTTTGTTGCAACCATTACCTGTAGCGCAATGGAAATGGGAGCATATTGCTATGGATTTTGTGACAGGTTTTCCAAGGTCAAGAAGGGGCAATGAGGCCGTATGGGTCATCATTGACAGATTGACCAAGACGGCTCACTTTTTGCCTATTAAGGCAACAGATGATGTAGAGAAGCTTGGTGTTCTTTATGTGAAGGAGATTGTAAAGTTGTATGGAGTTCCTGTAACCATTGTGTCAGATAGGGATGCTAAATTCACTTCGAAGTTCTGGGAAGGACTTCAAGTAGCGTTTGGTTCAGCATTGCATCTTAGTACGACATTCTATCCACAGACGGACGGTCAGTCGGAGCGTACTATCCAGATTTTAGAGGATATGCTTCGGGCATATGTGCTTGACTTGGGTGGTAGTTGGGAGGATCACCTTCCACTTATTGAGTTTGCCTACAACAACAGTTATCAAGCGAGTATCCAGATGGCTCCATTTGAGGCGTTGTATGGTAGACCTTGTAGGTCTCATGTTTGTTGGACTGAGGTAAGTGAGACAGCCGCCTTAGGACCCGACATTGTACTCGAGACTATTGAGAAGATTAAGTTGATAAGACAGAGGTTACTTACAGCTCAGAGCTGACAGAAAAGCTATGCGGATAAGCGGAGACGACCGTTATCCTTTGAGGTGGGAGACCACGTTTTTCTACGAGTTTCTCCACGGAAGGGATTAATGAGATTCGGAAAAGTGGCAAGTTGTCGCCACGATTTATTGGACCGTTTGAGATTTTGGACCGAGCAGGAGAGGTTGCCTACAGGCTTGCTTTGCCACCACAGTTTGATAGGGTCCACAATGTTTTCCAAGTATCGATGTTACGGAAGTACGAACCGGATCCATCTCACATTTTGAGTTGGGTAGATGTGGACATTGATGAGGATGTTTCCTACGAGGAAGGACCAGTTCAGATTCTTGACACACAACAGAAGGTGTTGAGAAACAAGACGATACCAATGGTGAAAGTCCTTTGGAGACACCACGGAGTCGAGGAAGCTACTTGGGAGCTCGAACAGAAGGTTCGGTCCAAGTACCCAGCGTTATTTTCTTCCTCAGGTATGTCTTGATTTCGGGGACGAAATCCTTATAAGTTGGGGGAATGTGATGTCTGTGTATTTATTGTGTGTGTGTGTAGTGTAATATAAAAGTAAAAGAAAAATAATTTAATGGTGGGGCTCACAAGGCACTTTAGAAAAGGGTTAAGACCATAAAGTTGGTCTCATTTTCCTGATCCCCTTTCTCTCTCTCTTCGTGCATCTCTCTCTCAACCCGTAAGCTCATTTTTCTCTTATTTTTTGGTTTCAACTTTAAGGTTAGATTTCTCACTCATTTCTTGTTGGAATTAGGTTCCGTTTGAGACAAAACGAAGCTCGTGTCAAGCTCTATACATCCATATCATCAATTTCCAGTTTTGAGTCTTCCTTGGAGCTCGAATTTGAGGACCCATTTTCTAGGGTTTTGGTGCAATCTTGAGGTAGGGGCCCTTAATTCATGAAATCTTGTACCTTAGTGAGTTAATTGCCTCTAATTGTTGTTTAATTTGATTAGTTGTTTAAAATCTAGAGAATTGTTGATATGTATGCATATATGTTAGTTGTGTGACTATATTTGTTGATTGTTCTATGTGAAGCATGTTTAGGACTTGATTATATATGTTCATTGTGCTAGAACTTGTTATGTATAAGCATGTTATGACTTTCTTGATTATTCTTGCGAATTATGCCATGTTGCTTAAATTGGATAAAATATGGAATGATGAACTTGTGTATGTCATTGAGGTATTCATGCATTAACATTGGGCAGGAAAAGGGAAAGAATTGATTTACTTCAAAAAAGGGGAAATTTCGGGAAAGTGTTTTTGATGAAGTAATTTTATGCGAAACCCGATCGCTGTGGGGTTACCAAGGGGCCGGAGGTTGATATAGCCTAGAGGGGACTAGGGAGTCGCCCTAGTGTGGTTGAGCTAGCTGGGCCCCATAATGACGCCGCGGGGTTACTAAGGGTCAGGGACACTAGCCAATCCTCCTCTCGTGTCACGGCGGGGTTACCAAAGGGCGGGCTGTATTAACGTTTGAAAGTGATGGTTTTGAGAATGAAAATGGGGAGTGTCATTGACATGCATTGCATTTCATTGCATTGCATTGCATTGTTTATAATTGGAATTGAATTGTATATTGTATTTGATCCCCTACGTTGTATGATCCCTATCTCCCATTGGCCTATGCTTTGCTTGAATTCACAAGGACACAAGATTTGTGTCTTAAGTGTCTCTGCTGAGCTATATGCTCACCCCTATATCTATATTTTTTTTTTCCAGGCCTTGGAAAAGAACCGGTGGACGACAATCCACCCCAACTTTGAAAGTTGCTAGAGGAGCATTTTCCTTGTTATTTTGTAATAGACTACTCCTTTGTTCATCCCTCATTTTTTGTAAAATTCCAAAGGTGTAATGATGTAAATTTATTTTGAAGAAACATGATCATGTAATACACTTATGATACTTGATGACATATGGGATGCGAACTTGATGATATGTAACTTATTGATGAATGGAAGGATAATCCTAGCTTGAAGCATTGTCTAAATTAGTAGGTTGTATCATTATCTTTTGTTGCCGTGAATTCGGAAATTAGTTGCATGACAGGTTAAATATGCATTTAAACAGGTTGCGGTAGGTCCATTTTTAGGGGAGGTTATGCCGAATTTTTTTAAAAAAAAAAAAATTCTTGGCATTAGTTTTGGGATCGTTACACATCTGCAGTGTAAGCTTAATTCAATATTCTGACCAAAACAAGAACACATAACAAAATGATAATCTCTATGACTATTTAACAAAATGAAATAGTGATTTTTAATCCATAAAAAAAATAAAAAAAAATAATAATAAAAAAAATTTAATAAAGCAAGCATTCTCACGCCATGCTTTAATATTTTTCCTCTGCTCTACTTTCCCTTCCAATCCTCCGAACAATCATGCAGTGTAATTAAGTTTAATTCAATATTTTGACCAAAACATGAATGCATAACAAGATGATCAATCTCCATGGGAATTCATCAAAATGAAATAGTGATTTTTATTCCATGAAAAAAAATAAAAAACACATCTACACCAAACTCACAAATAAATAAATAAATTTATAACAAATACTAATGAAAGAGAGGGAATGTCTAAAATATATAATGTAGCAGAGTATATTTTGCTGTGAGAGAGAGAGAGAGAGAGAGAGATATATATATATATATATATATATATATATATATATATATTGGGCAATTAAAACACTTGTAAAGGTTGACTATTCAACTCCCAACTAATTAAAATAAAAAATAAAAAACTCCCAATTTTTTTAGAACAATTATAATGTGCACTTTCTTGAGCAATTAAAAAAGTTGTAATTGTTGACTATTCAACTCCCAATTTTTTTAATACAATTATAATGTACATTTTTTTTTTTCATTAGAATAGTATGTAGATGATATAAATTGAAATTAACTTTTTTTACTCCGGCACATTAATGTAAATGAGGTATGAATAACTAGGTCTAGTTAATTAGACATTTTATGAAGAAAAAAACAATTAAAAATATTAAGAAATTCCTTACACTTTTAGAATAGTATATATAGATATAGATGTATATATTTATACTGTTAGAGTATCTCCAATCGTTGTGTATATTTTTTTTGTGTAAATCTGATGTGTCATAATAAATTTACACAAAAAATTTGAATTATTTATTTTTAGCTCCGGCGGTTGTTTTATACTTTTTGTGTAAAAATATATCTCCTAATAACAACCTACCATTGTCATGTCTGAACCCCACATAATTTTTACAAACCTATTTAATATAGGGTTGATTTGTTAATGGAATGAGAAGAGGGAGGAAAAATGAAATATGTTGATGTGGTTGTATAAAAGGGTTACGTAAAATACACAGCAATTCAACACATTAATGATGTGATAGTATATCTTAACACATTACTGGAGATAAAAAATAAAAAATAAAAAAATACACATTATACATGACAGTGAATATTTTACATAAAATAGTATTTTAACAAACTAGAAAGACTTTTAGATTTTAATATTATTATTGGTTGGAGGCTTTTAATTTGATCAAGTATGGTAGATATGCGTATGTGCTTGCGCCAGGATTAGTCACAGTCAGCATAGTCAATTTTGTAAAGCATTTTTTTTCTTGCCATGCACACACAAATTTATTCCTCAGTTAGAAATTGGGTATGTTATTTGTACTACCTTTGACCTTTCATTTAGATTTTAATATCATTACTGTTTGGAGGCTTTTAATTTGATTGATATGCGTATGTGCTTGCCAGGATTCAGCCCGAACATTATAGGTAATTCGATAATCTAACGAATCATTAGTTAATCAATCTATATTCAATTATTCCATTTATTTAATGTCCGATCCGATTATTTTGTTATACCCTCCTTCGCAAATCAAAGAAATTAAAGAACAACAAAAACAATTAGCATTGCAAAATAACTTGAGGGCAAAAAACTGAGAGAAAACCTGAAGATGATTAAAACGGAGTTAAATAAGTTTTTTGTACCCTTTGTTCAGGAACTAAAAAAATCTAGGTCTTGTAGGAACAATTCCTTAATGGTAATTTCAGAGCTTGTAAAAAGGAAGAAGAAGAGGGGAAAAGAGAGAAAATACTGCACACATGAAATAAATTAAAGATCAAGAAAAACAATTAGAATCGTGAAAAAAAACTTGTGGGAAAAAGGGAAAAAGAAAATCTGAAGATGATTTTCGTAAAAATAAAAAAATAGTTCAAACCAAGAAAAGAATATAAAAAAATAATAATAATAAAAAAATAAAAAAGAGTTGAATAGGTTTTTGTACCCTTTCTTCAGTAAGAGGATGGCAATTTTAGGGCTTGTAATAAGAAAGAAGATGGAAAAATAAATAAATAAAAATTAGGACTTGTAAGAACAACACAAATTAGGATTCATATCGAAATTCCATCCATCAACAGGTGTAGTTGCAATGCCCAAAATCAAACAACAAATAAGATATTAATGTATTTTGGTGGCTAGGCTTGTGTTTTGCCTTTGCCACTCCTAGCTTTTGCTACGCGCAGTGTTTGGATGGGTTCTTATTCCTCATTTCATATCTCTCAAAAAAAAATAATAATAAGAAGATAAGAAGAGAAATGATAGTATTTAAATATTATTTTCATAACCTTGAAACTGTTCTCAACAACTAAAAAAAGAAAATTATTATTTTATTCATATCCCTTCTAGTTAAAAAAAATATGATAATAATTTGATTTTAATCATTTCTTTTCAAACAAAAATAATATCAGTCCAAATATAAATTAAAATTATTATTAATCTTTCATTTCATCTCTTTTTCTTTTCATTTTTTTCATGACTAATATTATTATTTCTTTTATGTCGGATATACCTTAGTGTTATCAATTGACAATGATTATCAAATTCAATTTCACGGACACCCAACCAGAAGATGAAGTGCACATGGCAAGTCCACTTCCATCACTCATTACTCATCACTCTTCTTATCTTCTTGCCGTTCCTTTGGTTCTGTCGCGAAAATTCAAAGTCTTCCCTGATGTTGACTAGGTCGTTGTCGTATTAGATAATGTTTTAATGTAACGTCGCTCTCCTAATTACTCTCCAAAGAAAAAACCGTGAATCTCTTATTTCGAGGATAAGGAAAAAAATGCTCAGATGACTTGACTTTGGCTCAGTCCAAGTCTAGTTCTGCTGTGAGACCGTGAAGCATATACATTCTTACATATATATATATATATAAATAAATATCAGGTCACTGATGGTTAAGCGTAACATCCCAATTTTTAACTCCAAAAATAGACACTTTGCATAATTAATGACAATTTTTTCAAGTGTTGTTCCTCCATTATTGAATTAAGAAAATACTTATTCATATACAGTACGATACAAATCTCCCACGCTTGACGCCTATCGTCACTTCTATAAGTTAAGAGGCATCACACAGCATGTGGTAATCAAGTAGACTCTATGGTTATGGTAATGGAGTACTCTTTATTGACAATCATCTCCTCACAAAGGAGGTATCAACTTACATGCTTCAATGCTTTCTGGCTTCTCTTTCTCTTCACTGTCCTCTCCACAATCTCTGTCTCATCTTCTACAACTCCACCCTCTTACTCTGATCACTGTGATTCAATTGTTCCCAAGTCCACCCCAACCGATCCCGACTACACCACCTTGCCACATCTCCTCCGTATACCCAACGGTCGCTACACTGGTGGTGACAAAATTCTTGTTAACACCTCGTCTGATCAATTCTACTTTGATTACGACAAGTATCTCTCCTTTACCACCCGAAAAGTTTATAAAACCAAAGCCAGTGATGTTTATAATATTGAGGCCTACTTGACCTTTTCCCAATCTTACTATTCTAATTATCGTTCTCGGAGAGGTGCACTGAAATTCCTATTGAATGGATTCTGGTCTGAATCTTCTGGGAAGCTTTGTATGCTGGGCTCTGCATCTTGGCACTCAAGAGAAGGTAAGTCTCTTGAACTTGACGCTGTTCTTAAGCTTAATTTTGCGAAGAATGCAACTATCTTAACTAGTTTGGTTAATGGAACATTGGAGAGCTTGAGTTCTTCTGATGATTTGAATTACTTTGATCCAATTTCAATATTGGCTTTCCCTTCCATGAGTTACTATAATTACACATTGGTTTCAGAGGAATTAGATAGTGGGTTCCCTGGTGGAATTGATATTCCACAGAATCCCTCTCTTGGATTGCAACCGGGAAGTATATGTTCAACGCTCTCCAGGCAATTCCCTCCATTTAAGTTGGAGTATGCCAGCGAGTGCAATTCTTCACATAATTGTACTCCCTTTGGCAAGGATATTGGGTATTTGCCTACTTTCGTCTCCTTTTCTGAAATTCAGTGTTCTGAGGATGTACAAAAGTTAAGGTATCTGATAGATTTTTCAAATAGTAGCTATGGGTTTTATTACCAACCTTTCAATTCCGACACGACGTTGGTTGCAGAAGGATCATGGGATGGAAAGAAGAACCGGCTATGCATTGTTGCTTGCCGGATCTTGAATTCCTCTGATTCTTTGGGAAATGTTCGTGTTGGGGATTGTTCAATTAGGTTGAGCTTGAGATACCCTGCAGTTTGGTCAATCAAACAGAGGGGTATTGTTGGGCAAATTTGGAGTAACAGAACTGTGAATGATTCTGGCTACTTCCATAGGATCAAGTTTGGAGGCTTTTCCCATAACAGGGTGAGCCTTCCTGGTTTGGAGTATGAGTACACTCAAATGGAGAGAGTAAAAATGTTATGCCCAGTAAAAAAGCCTTCTCAACACAAAGGGCTGAGATACCCAATTGCAGATTCTTATGATATGAGATTCCGCATGTCGGTAAAAGATTCAAAAGGAAGAAGTTCTTGGGGTTCTGCAGACCCCATCTCTGTGGGTGATCAGTTTTATGAGCATGGGAATGTTATTTTCGGTTCAAGCTCTATGGCTGACGAAAGCTCTGCATTTGAGGCAGAAGCCAACTATATTAGACCATCAAAT